CCGGACCGCTGCCCTACACTGCTTGTGTTTGGGTACAAACAGGTTTGAAAATGTTTGTAAAAGCCAGTGGTGACATTAGCCAAGTAGCATGAAGAGCTTTCTGACACCAGTGTTATCCTACAGCAACAAAAGCAACAGGAAATTCTTCTGCAATGTCCAGCTTCCTAAGGGGAATTTTTTCCAAGTTGGTGTCATGCTCCCAGAGTTCCTTTCTGGGTCCAAAAAGTCACATGTGCAGAAAACTGAAACAAAACTAAGGGAGACGTACATTTAGGAATGCTTGTCTTACACTGTTACTCCCAGGTAATACCCTGGTGTGTGTGTTTGTATTGGCATGTTGTACTATCAATGGGGAGACATCTCCAGAGTGGGACTGACTGTATTTCAGACTGACTGGCTTTCAAATCCAAAATTGTTAAAAAAGGATCTGTTTTGGATCTGCTCTCACTCTACATGGAGTTTTATTTAATGGGAGAGCGAAATGGTCACCAAAAAAAGAATGAGGGTCAATGGGAGGTCAGCACAAAGACAGGAATACTAATGCAAGTGTGCTCGAGTGCATGTGTGTACATATATGAGCATGTGTGCAGTAGATGTGTGTACATGTGAATGCATGTGTCCGTGCATGCACATGCGGGTGTGTACTTGTGCGTGTGATCGTGTATGCACAAGCGTGTGTGCATGTATGTGCATGTGTGTATGTGGATGCGTGTGCACATTGGTGTATGTGTGGATAGAGGTGGGTGTGAGTATGTGTGTGCATGTGTACACGCATGCAGGTGTGTGCATGTGTGTAGGTGTGCATGCATGTAGGTGGGCATGTATGTAGGTGTGTGCATGTGTGTAGGTGTGCATGTGTTTATGTGGAGGAGATAAATAGGGGGTTGGATGGAAGAGGCAGACGCCTACCTGTGTGAGAGTTTGATTCCAAGAAAAAGACACCAATAGCTCCCAACGCCTCCTCTTCCCTGCTGTGTTTCACTACAGAGTCAGGCGTGGATCCCTGCAAGTGCATCTCCACGACTTCTGTACTGGAGTGTTTAATGGCAATGGAGTACTGACTGCGTGGGTCGCTATTTAACACAACGATGAAATGAAATGATCCATACAGTATTCTGATTTGGGGCATGCGTCTGTGAAGTATTGAGATTTTCCCTTCCAGCAAAAATATTGCAAGGAAAGAGATCAAAGTAATGTACAGTTAATACTAAAAATGCACACATTTTCAATTCTATACTTCACTATCGGCTGACACCTTCTCGAGTTGCTGGGTATTTGATAATAACATTTTGAAATCTCTCGTTGTTAAAGCTTTGTGGATTGTGGGAAGATCAAATTTGCGACCCTGTAGCACGATGTGGTGACCCTGTAGGTGTAAGAGCTCTCTCACATGGGAGTCAGATTTAAAAGGTGCTTCAGCAGCTCCAAAACTGCAGTAAAATCCCATCCAGTAACATATTCAAGCTTAGCTAAATGCAGCGTGTGTACCAACACAAAGAGAGAAGTCATACAGTGTGTGAAAACGTAAGGCTTGAGATTTTAATGTTTAACATGTTGAGACATACTTGTCCTTCACCTCGTCCTCACCAAGTCCTAATCGTAGATACAGATAACCTAATTTGACAAACAGCACAAAGATTCTACTTTGTCATTATTTATTTTTAAAAAATCAGCTAGCATTCAATATCTTTGTGTGGAAAAAGTATAGTAAGTGTAACTCACTCCCTGCTAGAATCCACTTAAACTGTCAGCAGGTGTACTTCCTTTTTAACCACGCTACAGACTGGCCTCCTCCTGAGTGGGCTTCTGAAGAACGCAGCCTGTTAGCAGGGTGACACAAAATGAAGGAACAAGATGAAGAAGCTGAACCTCTCTCTTTTGATTAGATGTTTGAGAGGAGTCATCAGGTATGAAGCGGACCAGAGCAGCAGTGTGGGTGGGCCGGGGGTTGTGTTGATCAGATGTTAGTGCGGCCCATGTAATTGAACTCATTTAGATTTTCTCTTTTGCAAAGTGTGTTCCAGTGGTGAGATAGTGGATTTCAGGATTTTCTGTGACATAGAGCACAGGACCATAAAGTGCTCATTGTGGAAGCTACCTCAGAGTCCTGTACATATATCCTTCCATCTAGTACAGGGTCAAGGGGGAGCTGGAGCCTGTCCCAGCAAGCAAAGGTCACAAGGCAGGATACACCTGGACAGGACACTAGTCTATCACAGGGCACACAGACACAAACACACACACTCACACCAGGTTCAGTGTTCCAAGTTTACATGGGAGAGCATGCACACCCCACACCGATAGCACCCCAGGTCTGGAGTTAAAACCAGACGCCCAGCTCTGGGAGGCAGCGAAGCTAACCTCTGTGCCATCATGCTGCCCGCTTCATTCATAATAAAAGAAAACTCTTCGGCATTGGCATTCTGTGAAATTTAACACCCAATTAAAAGCATAAGGACCAAAAAGGCAGACCGAGGGGAAGCACATTTGAGAAAGAGATTAGGAGGTACTACTTTACACAAAGGGTTGTGGGTGACTGGAACAAGCCACCTAGCCATGCTATTGGTGCTCCCATATTCTTCAAAGGTTGGATGATGTAAAATGAGTTAGATGGACTAAGTAGCTCCTTCTCATTTATGGAGAACATTTAGGTAACCTTTATGGAAAGAG